GGTTTCGGATTACTCTTTCTGGACGCTCACGTGCTACTCACTGCACCACTGAGTGGCTCGCTTTACCTTCCCTCCAGCCTTAGGATCTGCGTTTTGCAAATATTTTAGCATCGTTGTGGTTATGTACTACATCACACCCAGCTTGAGAAAGTAATGCGCGGTAAATGACTAAGCTAAAGTTTATCAAAGTAATTACCGATATTTGGTGGCACTATGCAGCGGCGATAATGGACTGCAATTTATACAAACACAGCCATAAGATTGATCTGAGGCGTTCATCACTTCTTTTTACTTTTCATTGTCATTGGGAAAATCAAAGCAAATTACTCGACAGAATATGTGCAGAGATATCAGCAAAAGTGACTAATGGTTTTTATCTTTCTCAATTGATGCTCTTTCTAGTTCACGTTTCCCATATCCTTGCTAGTTTTTATTGCACCACCTCATATTTTATTGCGTCGATCCCCGTTCACCGTCCGTAGTCCGTCGTCCTGGCTCGGTATAGCCTCAGCAACGTTCTGCAGTAAATACTTTCATATTAGAGGAATTAAAAAACCAATGAAAAATAAAACGACTTGTCAGAAATCCTTCATAGAAAACAACTAAACAGCTCTAAACATCGTCTGTATTTCGGCACCCGAAGTACATACAATTAGGCAAGAAAGGTGACAATTTGTCTGTTCTCCTCCTTTTATTGTCGGTCATGGAAGAGAAGTCATTAGGAACACAACCTCCTATGGACCACGCCCTCCACTGTATCTACGTTGAATAAATCATGAATTGATTACAAGAAGTACAGGAAAAAACTTGTGTGCACTAAAATAGCTCATTGGGAAGAAAGTGGCACCTACAAATGCCTTACCGGCTACTTCTGAAAAACCATTGTTACGGCTTTACTTCGCATTCGATTCGAGACTTATTACAAGAACCACGAAAAAGTTGAAGCGGAAACAACATGCGGAGTTGAATCTGAACTTTGTTTTTTTTTGAAGTAGTCAACTTTGAATGTAACTGTTTTACTTGCTGATGGATTTATATTAGGTGTATTAGCACCTAAGAGGTAAAGAGAAGGTTTCATGAGCTCTATCGGAAGATTGACACGATTTTCAGGTTAGGTAGGAATTGCTGAAACCTTGGCGGGCGTCTTGCAGTAACCTATCACGGAACAAGATAAGTCATATAACCGCGATTCTAGCGTGACTCCATTCGCCATCGCTGGTATCACGACTCACTTATGACGGTAGTCGTTTGCTATCATATTCACGAAAACTGAACCAGTGGAAATCATTAGTCCTGGAACAAACTGGTTGAAAGTTTAAGATGGTGAACAACATTTTGTCTTCGTCAAGATCGACATAGGATCTCAAATGAGTAATGAAGAAGCGCCGATGTTCGACCGACGCCTTTTACTTTATTTGGAAGAATTTGCACAGGAAAGGAATTTTACGGCTTCATATGCTGAGCAATGAACAGAAGCAGAATATCGTTCCACCGATTTCCGTTCCTACTTCATTCTTGAATATCCATCGATAAGGCGCTACGGACAACAACCCTATAGGGCCTCCCAATAAGTGCCACATCATTGCAAGTCGTTGTGAAGAGCACATCCTGAATGTATGAATCCTGAGGAACTAATCAACACTGAACTCCTTACCCAGTTGTGATTGTCATTCCGTTCTCAGCATTCTTAATATTTTAAAACACCATCTGTCTTGAATTCTTTGAAGACCCATTCGGAGAGAAGACTATTTGACAGCAAAAATGGCCTTGAATGTCCACGACTACACTACCAATGGTGAAGCGGACCGGCTCACTTTAAGCCGTTCTGAAATGTGCCTTTAGCTTAGAGCCCGTAGGATGGAAGAGAAGCGAATGATCGGTTACGACTGTGGCATGCCTTAACATCTGTTATGGTAGCATAACAAGAAGCTGACTCAATGTTGGGACGGCTCGTTGATATATAAACACCAAGTAGTTAAGAAGATTCGGTTGGATTAGCTGCTCGCCTTTGCTTGTGCCACGTGGGGCTTTTGGTGATTGGCAGTCGCAATGCTGGACACCTAAAACTTGTGTAATTAAACCGTTTATATATATAGTATTTACACGACAACGCAATTAGACTAGAAATGTATGCACAATACATTGCAAGTAAGGTAGTTGATACAAAAGTTTAAACGAGAGACAATCAACATGCTATAAAGCAGGCGAAAGATTTGTGAAGATTATATGGTGCTGAGATGAGCGCTTAAGAGATTAAGCCCTCATAAAGCCTAAAAGAGAGAAATCTTATATAGCTGGCGTTGCAAACATGTGCAGTGACAAACCTATGAATAAATACAATTGTTCACAATCTTAACTCTTTTATTTACTGCCTTTTTCTTTTTAATGGCAGGGTATGTTGCGAAACATGCCGATTTGGGCTCCCCAGATCAATCCGTTGAGGAGTGATTGCTGATGGCAAAAGATCAATAGAACTAGCTGAGAGACAGGCAAAACGAAGGACCCGGATGGTGTGGTGGTGAAGCGCGCTACTCCTCGGTAAGGATAATAGCGCGCGTTCGTTCCCCACCGCATACACCTGCGGTTCGGAGTTTTGCAAATATCTCAGCATTATATACAATTGTTCAGTTTAACAGTATGAGAATAAGGGGTTAATATATAAGTTGTAGTTGTTCGAAGATTTGCCGTGGCGAAGGACGAGCAATGATGCATTGGATATACAAGCATTAGATGGGAGTTGCAAAATGAATTGCAGTCAAGCCAGTTGGATGATGAGCAAACATTACGGCTTGTAGAGGTGTTATTAAGGTTTAACATGATTCAAGAAGGTGTAACACTACGTAATTCATGTTCCAGTACGATGAGACATAGATACACGCTGATGACGTGATACTTAGCCAACAGGTGCACGGCTACAGCAAGCCGAGATTGGCGAAGCAAGACCATGAGTCTTTATTTATCAATATCCCCACCTAATCAAACGGAATCAGTTGCGGAGGAAAAAGGTTAAGCTGGAGAAAGTGTGATGAAGAGGAACGACGGCGATGTCCACGTGTTGTCAGAAGTCAAATGGCCGTGCTAAGAGGCTTGGCTCGATCCGAGCGAGTGGCGTGGATCGCGAGGTCGCGCCACTGGTCGCAAGGTCTCGCCCCTAAGCAATGCGTCGTGCCTGGTATTATGCCCGGTGGTATATCTCATGGTTATAGTTGCCGTATTTACTGGCGTGCCGGAATGGTTAGGATGAGATATGAGTATGGGACACTCGACACCATCAGAACACATAAAGAATAAAGTTACAATGTCAAATGTTTATCTTGGCAAACCATTCCTTGTGCAGTCACTGTTTGGAAAAAATGGTGTGCATTTTATTAGATTCTGAAAAACTTTTAACTATTGGAACATATTTTACGTCCGTTACATCGTTCTCGATCAGTCGGTCTACCAGTCGTTGAAATAACACGAAGTGCTGCATTACTGAAAGAATCCTTTTATGCCGCAGCAAACTCCAATGCACTACTGCTGATTGAAGCCTAGAAAATGTTTGTTGTGAGGACCCAGAAAAATCTCAACACAAAAGTTTCAGTATTCTAGGGATATCCATTCACGGAGGGTGTTCATCACGGTGACATAGCGACGAATGGTCAAACTACACTTAAAGCCCAAGCCCACGTGCAGCTGACCATTTCCACGGATGGTTTACTTGGTTTTCTTTGTTCCTATCATAGAAGTACTTGCTCGATGGTCTTTTACACAAATGTTACTTTAAAATACTCTTTATAAGACACGGTTTCATGGGATGGGTGGCGCAGTGGTAGTGATGCCGTTCATCACGAGCGCGGTTCTGGTCCGACCCCGCCCCAGACCACCAGATCTCTCACCGCTCCCGTGTCTGGAAATTTGCAGCATACTTCTCTAGGTCCAACTTACTCCTTCAGATCCACGCATGAACGCTCTACTACAGCTGTTTCAAGATACGAGGGCGAATAGGATTGAATGATGTTCAATGAATTTTATAAAAAAGACAACAATGGTCAAGCAACAGCAGATTACACGCGCAAAGATTAGAACTTTCGTGGATGATGGATGCGAGGAAACGAATGGAATGCAAGCAGTGTTGAGATCCTCACCGTAGATGTAAGTATAGGCTATGTGAAATAAAAAGGATGCCTTTTTTGAACTCAAGTTTCCTCGTCCCTAGAACACCTAGAAAATAGAATACTTTTTAAAATTTATTTCATACAACCCGTCTTCACGTCCGCTGTCCGGATCCCAGCACATCAGATATTCGATCCGTTTACTGGCATCTATTAACCGCAAAGGGTCTCCAAATTTTTACATGTGGCTTCGCTTGCTGCTTCAGGGTTTCCTTTTCATCTTGAATGTCATAAAGTGCTGGTCGAGTCTATTCTCCTTGGAGTTCTTAGGTAGCCGGGCGGGAGTGTTCACAACTGAATTTGAGTGAGTGATTTTTTCCCGAACAAGTCCTGCATCAATTTCCTGACCCCGGAAAGATAAGAGGTTTAGTAAGACGGGATGGGATCGAACCAACATCGTCCTCGTGATCAGCGGCATCATTACTACTGTGCTATCCGCCTCATAATAGTAGACTATTGATACATTTTAACGAAAAACATGGACTTAGAATTTTAGAAAAAATTCGCGTCCCAGATAGGGTGATTGTCCATGACAGATTTGAAAGTGCTCTTAAGCATTTAGTTCTGGACTATTAGTCCAAAGAAGAGAATGGACACGATGTACGGCACTTTATCGAGATGGGAGACAGCAGAATCGTGACTACTCTATAAAAAGAGTTTCGCACATAAACATAAGTAACCGAACATATCAGATAAGATTTTATTCACTCTATCATACACCTTTATTTGGCGACATTGAAAGCGACTATTAACAGTAAATGATCCACAGGGCGAGAAGGCGATAAGGTCGTTTGGTAATCAATTAAGAATACATGAATTCCTCGTTGAAAAAAAGAAGCCGGGCGGTTAGAATCCTCTTGTAGCAGCGTTATATTCTTCCGTAAATTTCTCTAATAAAGGATTAAGGTCGTCATTAATGTACTTCGACTTCTTCAGATACAACAATAGCACCTGGTGCACATATAGATACTGATGTTCGGTCTAAAAAATGAAGAAGTCAGAATGAGAACATCAACGTGTCAACTTTTAAAAAATCTAACTCTTCAGCGAAGCAAAATTCCAAATGGTACCCGAATACGAGGACTTCGCTCGACGGTAACTCTACTCGGGAACTAATATTTGTTCTACAAATTAAAGTTTTTCCAAATGTTAACTTTTTTGTTTACCGTATACTACACTTTTTCACAGCAGAGTATTATGTGAAATACAACCACAATGATGCCGAGTCATTTGTAAAACTCTGGACCGCGGCGATAGGGATGGAACACGTTTACTCTTTCTAAGAGCTAACGCGTTCACCACCATACCACGCAAGTTCTTCGTGCCGCATTTCTCTCAGCTAATTTTCTGTCTATCATCAGCAATCGTCAGTCAGCGAGATTAATCTGGGGAGCATAAACCGGCAATGAACTCAGTTCAGCTGAGGCTGTAGTCGAAATCACAACGTTAACTTTTTTATTTACTGTCTACTACAATTTTCCACGGCGGGGTATTCTTTAAGACTTCTGATTTCAAGCATTAACGGTCTATTTCTAGGCGAAGTTTAATAGTTTTGTTATCACATTACGCTGTTTGAGAGATATTTTTGATCTTACGTCTCCATTTCAATATTTCTGCTTTAACACCGACTTGTGATAAATTTAGGATGTCCTAAGTTTAGGCCACTGAAATGAAAGTGGTGAACAAGCAAAGGCGACCTTTCTGTACGAAATTAAACATGGATTTGAAGTCACAGTTGCCAGAAACCGTTGGTGAACAAACAGCATAGCGTTGGTTCTAAAAGCTCGGTGATGGAGATGTGAACCTTGAAGGTGATGAGGTCAAGAAGAATCCAACGCCATCGTGAATGACCTTTTGAAGATGCTTCCTGGATGAGATCCTACGCAAAGTATTCGGAGAACTAACTGAAAAATCAAGCATACAAATGACAACAGTTTCAGATCGTTCCAATTGAAAGTCAAAAAACTCGACAACGTGGTGCTGCATGAAATGAAATGAACGAAGACCAGAAATCGTCTTACGCGAAATTTGATCAAACTTGTATCAAAATGAGATAAAATGAGAAAATGAGTGACATTTCAGTGGTTACTAAATAGATTCACCATCAGACCAACAGAGAGTTTCACACCTGAGGCTATGAAAGTTAATGACGAAGAAGCTTGTGGGCACCCATCATCAGAGGACAACAATAGTATTGCGAGAACCGAAGCTGACACTTGAGAAGCACCTCCAGAGGTTTTAGATTTCAACGGTTACAACAGTCTTTCTTCATTTGAAAAGCACTGGCAAATTAGAAGAACAGTAAAGGAGGGTCCCACGAAATAAACGAACAGGAAAATTATATGATTAAGAAGCCTGCCAAGAGCTTCTTTACGAAGTAAAAACGATATACGGCAAAAAAAATTTTCATGCCAGAACCAACCACGCTCACGGACCAGGATAAAGCTTCTAAAAGATGAATTGACGCCGAAAAGGTTGTGTGGACCGTTTAATGGTTTGTAGTTGGATTAACACACTGAGCGCTATAATGAAATCAAAGAAATAGCTTAGAAATCGCAACAGTATGCAAAAAAGGACAACAGAAACACCTTCGTCTATTAGAGTTGCTCATGGTTCGAGGTACAGCATTTGCTATTCAAAACCAGTAATTGCTTTTAAGTAAATCAAGGTATCTAATGAAGGACAGAGTCCATCATAACGTGAATCGAAACTGTTCAAGGTCGATGTTGACGTGGTGGCTCGCATCAGAGGATAAAAGTATTTTCGCGAAAGATCTTGATTAAGTTAACGTTTTGTAAAGAGTGCTATCAGAAATGATGACGACCTAGTGGCACTGGATCAAGGAACAGAATAAGACTACAAGTCAGAAAAAAAGGCCTACACAAGAACCGCATTAGACGCGAGTCTGCATCGAGGAGATATGAGATGAAACTCGACGTATGTAAGAAAATTTCGGTTGATAAGGATCCAAAGAAAACTGAATAACATAAAAGCCAGTGTAGACGGACTGTGGGGGAACTTTGAAGTTGACAGAGTTCAAAATATGATACACACCTGTCTCTTTCTTGGTCCAATTTTTATCGTTACTTTATTAAGCGAAATACGCCATTTTCATTGTATGTTGAGGAAAGGAATAGATATATGACGTTAGCATTCAGAAGTGCTTGCGAGCTGATTCATCTAAGTAAGTGGGCAACTTAACCTTGCGCTCATGATATCGAAAACATTCTCAGCTAAAGGAAGCTACTTGTGTTTAATGTCGTACAAAAGAAGGGCGCGTGTGGCTTATTGTTTAGAGGTCCCCTACAATACACACGTGGTCTTTGGTTTTGGTTTGCCCCGAAGTTCACTAAGTCTTCCACCCCGCCATGGTGCGCAAACTAGCACCAGTCATGTCATTCGGGATAGCGGCACTGACTTGATACATCGGAAGGCCACAGCAAGCCATTGTATAGGCCAAACAGGCATTCAATAACCCCTAGCGATTATTGATAAAGTCGAATGCACGGTTCATCCCTCGGGGATTGATCAAAGCCGAGAGCTTTATGTCTTTACTATCCTTTGTACAAAACTGAAAATTTCAAAAAACAGCAAAACTGTGCAGAAGTTTCAATTTTCGGAAACTGAGTGGAGGGGAAGCTTAGATGAATCTTTCCTGGTTTAATGTAAATTTGAAAAAAAGCTGTACCTGTACACTGTTGTTCCTTTGCTTACGTAACTCTACAAGATAGTTTGAGATTTCCAGCAGTGGTTTGCCCGAATTGAGCAGTTCCAAGGCGTGCTCAATTAGCACAATGGAACCTGTGCGACCGATACCGGCTGAGCAATGTACGATGATCGGGCCTCTGAAACGAAGGACACTACTGGAATAGAACAACAACACGGCTTCTACTACAGTCACTACCACACAGGTAAATAGCACCGGCTTTAAAAAGATGTTAATCATTACAAGCTAAAAAGATTAGTTGAAACGGTTAAAAGGACTTATAAAAATAAATCGGCTGAGATTAATTGGCACATAATACGCGATATGTATTGGGGCTATATTAAAACATATCACATAGTAATTCACATCACCAGTAGAACTCACGTGCAGCTCCTGAGCTTGTCCAGCAAATGAACAGGAAAGAGGTCCGCATCAGGTACGCCACGATCTGGCCAGTCAACCCAGTGATAGTGGTTACAGATGTGAGTCGGCTGGCCCTTTATGGACACCTCTAATTTTGTTGCAACCATCTTGACCTTAGACTTGTACGGAAGTTCGAACTAAACTGTTCCATATAAAATAACTCGAAATCTCTCAAAGGCTGAGTACAACCGTAGTATTAGTATTATTATATTAGTATTTAGAAGTATTAAATATGTTTGTAGGTATGGTCGCATGTATTTATGCGTATATATATATATATATATATATGCGACCACATGCGACCATACATTTATATATATATTTCCCTCACAGAGGGTTATCATGACAGTTGGTCGCGAGGCAACGTGATGCGTCCCATGGAGATAAACTCCGTTTCTGCTGCGTCGACTCGTCACGTCTGTTCTGTGTCCATGAAGGCGCATTCGTGCATGCGTGGGTGGGTGTGTTCTCGTTTATGTGGATTGTACTCTACGAGTCATTTTGGCCAAAAGCTTGTGATCAAGCAGCAGGTAAGTATATGGAATTCGGTTTGGAGTCGCCTCCGACAAGTCAGTTCCCTGTCTACTATGGGAGAGGCTGGCAGCCGCCTGTGAGTATACCTAGCCCCGCGTTCAGAGCTAAAATTAGCTATTTATGCTTAGGTGTTAAATCCTAAACACACCTAACTAAGCGGACCTCATTACGGTTGGTAAGACGACTACGGAAAGGATGCTAAAAACTTATGGTAATTCTACGCTGCAGATTCTCGATGGACTAGTATGACATCCTGTGCCTATAAAACGCCAGCACTTGCACCTGAGTTCTCCACAGAGAACTTGATCATCCAGGCAAGGAGAATAACGTACGACTTCATCTAACTAGCTAAGACGAGAAGACGACACTCATTTATCTTCATGTCAATACCGGCTTTGACAATCTTCTCCGTCTACGCACTGGCATCAAGCCACGATGAAGACAAAGTCGAAGCATTCAATGTGGACATGGAAAAGTCCTACAGAGAAGTCCATAAGTTTTAGAAAGTCAGCATTGAAGATTTTAACGCTAAGATTGGACCCAGAAGGGCGTCCGGAGAACGTCATATGGGGCCCACAGATCAAAATGGAAGGAGAGGGGTGAGTAGCTGCCTGGGTTTATCATGACAACCAGGGCATGGTAACTCGTAATTCAAGCCCTACTCTCAACGCTGGACGTGGGAGTCTCCCACTGGAGAGTAGCGAAATAGACCACAACAGAATAAACCGAAGGACTTGCCTAATCGACGTCGCTGTTGTTCCAAAATTCTACGCGGGATCAGACCACCGTCTCCTTCTATTTCTTGGAAAAAGGAGAAGAAGCAGCTGAATTCAAAAACTGAAGTCCCAGAACCACAATAAATTGGGACTTATTCGATTTACTAGTCAGTTGTTGGGAAGATGCCGTTATCGATAACATCGACGAAGAATACAGTCGGCTTATTCAATATCTTCACGTTAGCGCTATGAAAGGTGAGAGTTCGAAAGTCACCAAGAGACGTCTCTCCAGGAATACTCGAGGTGATACGCCAGCGTGGAATCGAGCGAGCTGTAGGCAACCGCGAACTAACGTCCGAACTTGTAAAACAATGCACACAGGCGTTAAAAGAAGGTCTTAAAGAGAGAAGAGCAGCAGTAGTGGTCGAAGCTGCAGAGGTTGGGAAAAGTATTCGCAAAGTCCACCGAAGCTTCACCAATTACAGGACCAAAATGATTGCACTCCGACGCCCAGACGGAATAGTTACAACGTCCAGAAAGGCAGTGGAGAAAACCATTCAAGAATACTACCCAGATCTCTTCGATAGCTACGTCCACATTCCGTCATATGAAATAAAGGAGGACAGATATGTCGTCCCATCCGTTCTCGCTTCCGAAATCCGAAGAGCTATTTCACCAGTGGAGAGCCGAAGAACACCAGGTTGGGATAGGATAAGATTTGAACACCAGAAGAACTTTCCGCCAGCCCTCATAAACGCGCTGGTTCGGCTCGTCACCAGCTTTATCTGCCAGAAGCTACGGTTACTATTCAGTCAAAAACCAACAAGACCGTACTATTGTTCAATAGGGGCGATTGTCGCGAAATCGGCAACTTCTGCACATTCTGCTTACTGTCCGTCGTCAGCAAACTCTTCACTCTACTCGTCCTAAACAGGATTGACAGAATACTGGACGAAGTGTAGCCATGCAAGCAAGCAGATCTTCGAGAAGGATTCGTTCCGTTGGGGCAAATCCACACTATAACAAAACTCACTGAAGTATGGCAGGAGTACAAAAGACCGTCCTGTCTCACTTTCATCGATTTGTAGAAAGCATTTGACTTAGTTGAGATAGAGGCAGTCATGGAACCCATGAACAGCCAGGTCGCCCCTACTCAGCATGTATATTCTTCGAGAGCTTCATAGAAATTTCGCAACCAAAATATCACGATTCTACAACGACATTAACACTGACATCGAAAAAGGAGTTATGCGAGGCGTTAGCTTATCACTAAAATTATTTACCGCAACACTCGGGAACATCATGCGAACATTGGAGTGGGACAACATGGGAGTGAAAATCGTTGTTCTTCAATTACACTATCTTTCAGTGTGCTGATGACAACGTTCATATAAAACCAAACACTGGCCGAGCGGAACGAGTGGTTGCCGACTTTGATAAAGCCTATGGAAAGATTGGTTTTTGACTAAATCTCAAAAAAGGGAAAGACTGGTCTTTGACTAAGCCTCAAAAAAGATGCTCGTGAGGAACGAATTGGTTACCTGAGCCTCATTTACGCGCAACGGAACGAATATCTCCGAATGTTCCAGCTACGTCTAGATCGGTTTGGAAACCAACATGACGAACGACTTATCTCCTCGAGTTTGAGTTGAGCAGAAGTAAACGAGTTGCTTAGGGAGTTTTCAACACCATCAAGTTTGTAGTAAAGAGAACAAAGATCACCTGACTCCATGCCCACACTTTCGACTCCACGATTCTTCCTGCTTTAGCGCATGAGTCAGAAACCTGGTTGCTACCTAAACAAGATGAAGGACCTAAAGGACGATGCAAGGTGTATCCCATGTTAAGCAAGTAAGGGAAGAGAGACGAAGCTTCGATTTATTCCGACAATGCGAAATCAAAAACGTTGGTCTACACGCCAAACTGCTGAAGATGAATTGGACCAGCAACGTAACGCGTATGAACGAAAACCGACAGACAGCAGCCGTTAGCAACTGGATTTTTCGGGATGTCAAACGTACCGCCTAAAGGCCACCAACCCGTTAGTCAGAGATCGTCATGAAAACGATAGAAGAATGATACGATGTTGAATGAGTCCTTAGAGGATGCAGAACCCACTGGGCTACTCTTGCATGCGACAGTTAGATGTGGAAGATTTACTCGCGCCCGCCGGAGTTATTATTTCCAAGAAATCTCCAGATAATTAACATTATATATTTGTATATATATACCGATTTTATATTACATATATATGTATATATATGCTGATTTAATGATTAAAGGCGGCGGTTCACGAAAAGATGAAAAAAGCTTCTCATCGAGAAATACCCGATATCGCTTCTTGCACTCTACACTGACATCGCTACCGAAAGAGAGCCGTTCGCCAGCTTTAACCGGAAAGTACTCGGCACACTTCTTCACTCCCTGAATATTTGAATCTGTAGAAAGAATAAATATAGTTGTTCTAGGCGGGTTCCACAAAATGTTTTCAATAGTTCGGACTTGAATAAGGACACCAAAGTAAAGCCTGCATTAGAAAGCTAGAGCAGATTTTCTGACGCAGCAAGCGTAAAACTGGAATGTGATGTATGAAACGAAAAAAGGAAAACACAAGTTAACGTCGTCTGAAGGTAAGTGAGACCGTGGAAACGAAAAATGAGCCCATCGAAGTGACAAAGATGGGAGTCACTTCATGGTGGTGGTGGTGGAAATTCCACACAAATCACCTTTGGAAACAGAAAAACTTAGGAAATGAAAGTGTGGATTTCGAATCCATTTGTTATCATCTGCATCATCTGTAGTCCCGTTGATTGCCGAGTGATTCGGGCGGGCGGGAGTAAATCTTCCATTTTTCTCTGTCGCGTGTAAGAGTAGTCCAGTGGGTTTTGCTCGGTCTAGGGACTCGTCGAGCATCACATCTTTCTTCTAGGCTCTTCGTGAAGAACTCTGACTATCGAGTCGGTGGTCTTCCTGCGGTACGTTCACATCCCGAGGAATCCAGTTACTAACGGCTCTTCTCCGTCGGTTGTCATTCATACGCATTACGTGTCCGGGCCACCTTATCTTTACTTTTTGGCGTGCATAACGGCATCTTTGATTTGCGATCGTTGACGCAGATCGGAGCTTCGAATCCCATCCTTTACTTGTGTGGAACGGGATGCTCCTAGAATCGTTCTTTCGACTGCGCGTTCGATAACGCTAAGCGATCTTTCATCATGCTTAAGCAGCGACCAGGTTTTTGACGCATACGTTAGGGCAGGAAGTATTGTTGAGTCGAAAAGGTGGGCACGGAGCCGGTTGTTCTTTGTCTTCTTCACTACATCCTCGATGCTCTTGAAAGCTCCACAAGCCGCTCGTTTCTTTCTGCACAGCTCTGGAGCTAAGTCGTTCATCTCATTGATTTCCCGACCTAGATAGGCATAAGTGGAGCAGTTCGTTCCGTTGAGCGTGAATGGGGCATACGAAGCCAATCGGTTCCTCATGAGCATTGTTTTTGTGAGATCTCGTCGAAGAGAAATCTTTAAACAGGTTATATAAGTCGGCAAGCATACATACCGTTTGGCTGATGTTTGGTGTTATAAGGACGATGCCATCAGCAGAGCGAAGATGGTGTAATTGCCGATCATCGATTTTCACTCCCATATTATCCCATTCCAGTGTTCGCATGACGTTATGGAGGACGGCGGAAAATAATTTTGGCGAGATGGTATCGCCTTGCCTAACTCCTCCTTTGACGTCAATGTTAATATCGTTGCAGAATAGTGGTACCTTCGTTATGAAATTTCTGTACAGCTCATGAAGAATCTTTTTGCACTGAGTAGGGACTCCTTGACCATCAAGGGCTTCCATGACTGCTT